CTTCGTCCACGGTGAAAGCCGATCCGGCGATCCACAGCGCAAAGTTGTTGTATTTCCTCAGCGACCAGCACAGATCAGCTCCAGGCATGACGAAGCAGATATCGTCCTCTTTTGGAAGACCAAACAAAGTAGTTTCGTTTACAAAACATAACACACAGCACCTTCACGACATAGTGGAGGCAACAACACTACAGCAAGAATATAAGTTACGCCTTCATTCTTTTCATGAACATTTGGGCGGCGTTATGCAAATCTACCCACATAGTGATGTAGATATGTGGGGGCGTGTTAGAACGAGCCGTTTTAGGTAGGTGTGGCTGACTCTTAACTTTAATAAAGAATATCTCTTTGGATTTGAGACTTTAGTCTTTGCAACTTTACAGATCTTCTTTATGCACCAAGAGCTTGTAACACTTCAAAGAGAAAGGAAAAATTGAAATCGCATCATATGACCCCTTTAAAGGATAGCTCTTTCTTTCTTTTACACACTCACTGAGATCCATGTTTTCATTTCAATGTCAGTGTGATCACAAATACAGTGAAACATGCAATCACAGACTGTGGAGGACACTCAAAGTGATTCTCACTATTTTAAAGCCTCATGAATCATATTGAAGGATCTAAGGATTCATTGTAGCAAACTACAACAAAATTCATTGTAGTGTTGTGTTTTATTTTATTTATTTAATATTTAGTTATTCTACATTTATTCATTCATGTATATAATAATTTATCATTTAAACATTTTTTATTTCATTTAATCATGTAATCATATATAATAATCATTTAAACCATTTATATATTCATTTCAATTATTCATTTATTGATTAGACATTTATATAATATTATTTTATATTATTTTCCCATTGTTGTTTAGTCTAATGTTTGTGTGGTTTCAAGGGATATTTGTGTTCATGAGTACAGAGATAAGAGAATGTTTCCATTTCAAGGTTTTTAACATCACAGGATGTTGTTGTTAAGCAGTCATTTTCCATTGCTGTTGCTTGTGGTATAACACTTGTTGGATTTGTGTTAGTTTAGACTTAACATTAAAATATACGGAACAAAGGTTATTCAATAAACTCTGCTTCTTTTTATCATCATTACTTCATCTCCTGCTTCTGCTCTTCTTTGGCTTTACTCTGTTAATACAGTTTTGGGTACCAGAGACAAGACTTGCTGTTAATGGATTTTGGGTATTAGACAACTTTGCGGACTAGTTGTTTTTTCTGACGGGATCTAGTGTCCGGGGTTGGATCTGATATTTCTGGCAGGGAGGCATAATCTAATAATGTTTTGCTTTAAAATCAACTGATATCACCACTGGTATGGTTTGAGGTTTAAAAAATTGTATCTCCCTAAAGAAATTGCATTTATTAGATCCCTTTATACAGTGAAACCAACGTGTATACAGTATTTATGCATGCCATTATGGCTGAAATGACAATAAGCAAACAATAGTGTTTACCTCAGCAAAGATCATTTTAATTATGCTCAAGTAGCAAAAGTGTACTCTGATATACAACTGAAACACCTGAACAAATATTTTAGTACATAAAACCAACCACCATTCTTTTTATGATTCCTGAAATGCAGAAGACATCAGTCACTCGGAATGAAATGTCTAATTTATGTTTTCATTGGAGAATCAAAAGCCCAGCAGTTTTCCATTGAAAAAAAAAAAGAAAACAAAGAAAACATGCAATAATCTAAGAGGTTTAATTCCACTGCTGTCTGTCCAGTGCTCAACAATGTGTAATACTAATGAACATAAATAATTCCTTATTTTAAAATATCCCATGCGATTTAGCAAACCAGGGGTGTTTAATCAAACCCTCAACACAACAACAACAACAAAATAAAATAAACAAATAAAGGACCCAAACATTGTACAGTATCTATGAAAATATAATATAACTGATATACAGGCAAAGACAAAAAAACATGAAGACATTTTCACGCATGTATAATTATGTACATCAGCAACGCATCACCCTATAAAAGTCACATTTTTGATTCAAATATGCCTGATTCCATAAAGAAATATCAGCAGACAAAAACAGGAAATATGAGGGAAACTTGTCTAATTGTGGGCTAATTGGTTGTGCATGCCCTCATTATTATTGTTATTATTATATTTGTGCATACAAATGAGCAGCAGCGCTTTGATTTCCAGAAGTCATGATCATTGAATCTTTAGATTAGTCTGGCTGATATTACAACTATAAACATATCCACAACCACAATCAAAGCAGCAGTTTTCGTAGATTTTGGAACATTGCAGAGTTGCAGTGAAAGCCAATTTAGTTGCATCTCAAAGCCTCTTTTTACTATCCTTAATATTGAGCATAGAGTGCACAAACTCTGTTAAACCTTACTGAAATATTTAAGTAGCATATATACGACTCAAAGAATGTGATGTGTCATGTTTAGGATTTACAAGAAAAAATACAAACACAGTAATTAATTAATCTAAACATTATTGCATTTCCTGAACAAAACTTGCATTAAACCCTGCCTTCCCGATGTTTTTCTTATAATACCCTGCTTTACGAAGAAGAAAATAATAGACTAACAATCTTCAGCATCCAAACACAGCTTGTACGCTCTACTTGGATTACACCTAGCTTATATTATCAGGAATATCACATTGCTTAAACCCTAGACCTGCTGTTGCATTTTTGGAAAGTAAACTAGGCCTCAACGTCTATTACGAGTGATACAGAAAACGAAATGTCCATATTTGCTAATATGCTCAGCCAAACCTAGAGAAAAAAATATCCAAGTAGCAAAAATGTACTCTGATATCTGAATAATATCTGAATTATTCACTGTATAATATTTTTTTACATCATTGAAAATAATGCCTTTAAACATGATTTTAAACATGCTAAAAGTACTCTGACGGTAAGCTGACAAATTTTTTTATGATCTAAAGAATAAATATATGCAGATTCACTTGAAGCACACTCGACAGACTTTTAAAAGCAGAAAACATTTCTAAACATTTTGCGTTACAAAATACAAAGTTACTTTTGTGATAAAAAATACTTTGCCGCAATACTCTTTCAGATATGTTTCTAAGTCATCTAAATTCTATTCTTAAAATATGACAAACAATTAGACACTCAGTATCAACCAGTGCATAAAACACTAAATTTCCCTGCAATGTGCCTTCAGACTAGAAAACCTGCATGAAGTTGCTAACTAGACTAAAACAGTCCGCTCACTAAAAAACCTCTGTTAGGAGAAAAAGTTGCATCCACATATTGTGCCACAGTTAAAAGCTTACAGCTGTGATGCATTGTGGCGGCGTCTTTTTCAAATCCCCAGAACCAGAAGCATACAAAACAAAGTATTTAAATAGTCCTTCTAAAAGAAGGGCAAGAAATGAGCCCCGGACACATCAGCATAAAGAACTTCTGAAAAAATCCATATTATTCACTGCATCCTTGGAAATGAATTCTGATCCTTGTTCTGCTGAGAAAAAAAAATCCTTGATAAACTCTAAGATTAGAGCGGCATGCTAAGAGAAAAATGACTTGACCCTTTTCTAGAACAAATTTACATCTACGATTTGACTTTGAAACAGTCTTATCAACGTTACATAGACGTTAGCTTCATTTTACCAGGACACGCTCCTGCTAATCAGCTTCTTAGGTTTGTGGCTCACTCACTCCATTCACTCTAAACAGGGATCTTAAATGTCAAAACAGTTAAGTATAAAATGTATATCTAGCTATATATTTTCCCTTACTTGCCTGCCAAAGTTTTGAGTGTTCAAAAAATCTTTACAGTTACCTCTGTCATGTCACACCGATATCAAATAGTAGAAACTGTTTTACGCATCAATTCAAAGGTGCATCTAAAAGGGTGCATAATATTCAGCGATGAAGGAGAAGGAATCCAGTAGAAAAGGCTGACACATAAGCTCTGAAGGACAAAACGGCGTAGCCTGGCTGAAACTCTTCTTTGGGACAGCTGTGGGTTGGTTTTGTTTCAGTACGTCATAGGAAAGTAATGTGCATAAATAGT